GTGGAAACACACAAGTTATTTTAAGAAAACAAGATAAGGAATTTATTTACGAATTTTGACATGATTGAAATTTTGCCAATAGCTCGTTCCAGGAAAATAAATAAAAAATGTTTATAGTCCATAATTTCAACAAATTGTCATGAAGAGGAAATGTCAATTCAACAGATTAAATCATCTGGCACAAAATAATATTAAAAAATGTTTAAAACCAAACTAAGAGTGTTCGTTTTTCATATAAGTGAGAGAGCATACATTTAAAAGCAGATAAAAAAGAGATAGTTTGAAATACTTAGAATTTTTGGATAGCTGGAATAAAGTTCTTTGAAATACCAAGCGCTTAAGGCCAATAATATAATCTGGCGAAAATCTGAACACGTGAACAGAAACGAAACTTTGGATGCTCTTCTCTTGTTGATTTGATTTTTCTCCTCATTTTATATCAAAAAGGATTTCGCATAGGATCGCTATTTTCTTTTTTTTTCTTTTTCTAGGCTCAACGGATAATTCCTGTGAATACAACGTTTTCATTGATCCAGATAAAATTTCACATAGCCTTACGAATTTGTTTTCGTTTCTTCATCTCGTCGGCCAATCTCTTTGAAGTTAATGTTTTCATCCGTCCAAAGAAAATTTCACACAGGCTCAAGAATTTATTTCTGTCGTTCCAGAATTTGAAAGGAGTGGGTAAAGAGAGTTATTATTTTGTACTCGTCACAGAATAAGGGGCACAGTTTATGCAGATATGTGTGAAAGTTAGCGGCTAACCCCAGACATGAAGGGGTTAAGAATTTTGTGGTCGGGAAAACATCCTCCTGAGTTTCTGTTCCATAAAGCAAGACTTCTTGACAAGTGAAACTTACTCCTTACTAAAGGAATACAAATGGAATGTGGGTGGTTCGCTTCAGTAGACACACATCGTATTGGGACTTAGCTGGGAAGGAGGGAGAGAGTTGGAGAAAACTATGGAATATAACTCGTTTGAACATTTTCCATGAAAATAGCAATAGAGTTGCAATAGCCTTGCAACGTTTCGTTTGTAGGAATGTGACAAGTGTTCTCCATTTTTTGGTCTGATCTGTCTCTGGTAAATGTAGTGCATAGTAGGATGAGTCATGCACTTGCATAAGTGGTACAGAACTCAACCAATTTTCCAGTATGTTTAGAAATAGATTGTATATACGAGTTCCCCTTGAGGTCTGGGGTGAGGTCCAATAGGCATTCAAGGCAATAGTTCCCCTTCAATTGATTGCGATAGATAGAAATTCAGGGTCTACTCAATGATGATGGAACGTTACAAGGTACTGAATGTGATCATCAAGTTTGCCCCTTGAGTTCTTAAAGCTAGGTCAGAGGAGAAATTGGTCTTTTAGATTTTTGTGGGTGCACATAACATTGTATCATTGATATTTACAAGAGATCAGAGTATGCTCTTAGCCAGATTCTTAATATTAAGCAGGGAGAGGGTTGTACCAAGATGCAAAGCTTGGGGGACGCCTGAATTCATAACATGGGCCTCAGAGGATTTGCCATTAACAACTTCCTGCATGGACCTACCTGTTAGGAAGGATTTGATAATTGAGAAAACTCTTTCAGTGATTCCATAACTAGAGAGCTTGTGTAGCAACTCCCTATGCCACACATTATCAAAGGTTTTCGATGTATCTAATGTGATTGTTTTCATGATGTGTCTATTGGCTAATGCCTTGCTGATTCTGTGAGTAATGACAGGATATCAGCAATGGACCAAGCAGATCAAAATCCATATAGTTTGTTGCTCAAGAGGTTGTCCTCCCTGTTGAGGCTCAACATCTTTCTTCTTGACTACAGCCCCAAAGAGTTTGCTGATGAAACTGAGGAGGAGGATGAGCTGATATTGAGATGGAGATGAGCATTCATTTGCATTCTTGAAAACTGGGCATACACTTGACACCTTATGTAGCCTTTGAAAGGATTTCTCCTTTAGGCAGTGGTTGAGCAATTTTTCTTACAATTCAGGTCTAATATTTTAAAGGACAACCACTGGTATTTTATCTGGACCACTAATCTGCTTAGGGTGAAGGCTTTTGATAAGTCTTGAGATTTCCCAGGCTGTGATAGAAATATTACTAAGTTTGTGACCCAAGAGAGAGTGAAGGTCAGGAAGCGGATGGCTCTTGTACTCTAATGTAGAGTTAGAGGCAAGGATCTTTGCAAAGAGCTTTGTCTTATCTCACGAGGAAGAGATAACTTCAGGACCATTTATGATAGTAGGCACTGATGCTTTGTCTCTATTGAGAATTTGGTTAGAGATTTTTCAGAATTCATGTGATCCAAGTCATTCACTTTCGACCTTGGCTTGCACTGTGCTGAACTTTGCATTTTCAAGAACTCTCTTGCAATGATTGTGGGCAGTTCTGAATTCAGCATGGGTCCTTCTCTACTGCTCACTATGATAGATATTGTAATAGTGCTTATAATGAGCTATTGTTGCAGTACATTCTTAAGGGAACAAGGAGTGGCTATTCGGCTTTTGCTGATATTTGGGATATAAAACTTGCCATGAATTCCTACAGGAAGTGAAAACTTAATAGTTAATATATTGACAGTTCCTTATCTAATCCTACCTAAATAAATGTATTTGAAGCTGAACCTACACCTGGGACTTGATCACTCTCATTCAGATCTTACGTTTTTCTATCATGTAGTACAATATTTATGTATATAAGAGTTGCTCTTTTTTGCTTTTGCTATGAGACAATGCAACTTATAAAGCATAAAACTTAATTGTTAATTCATTCGGAAACAGTAACAACTTACTGAGCTAACTATCTTTACCTGAGTACATACACTTGTATTGCACGGTAAACTAACTGTATACCTCTAAAAATCTAAAATGTGGCAATAATATTCAAGGTACACATAAATGTGTAAAATAGATTCTCATGAGAACAGTTGTCTAGCATAACACAGTAAACCAACTTTGCTGGTAGAAGGCCTAGCAATTGATTCAATATCATCATCCCAGTTGACATCCATGGAAAACATTAGACTGAGAAGGTGCAATGAATTACTTTGCTGGAGGTTAGCATCAGCCATGCTGATGCAAAACTGAAAAGGTTCTGTAAGATGATTGAAGGAGAGCAGTTTCATTTTGGAGGCTTTAAAATTAAGTTGTTAGCCAACAATGGATACATAATTATGTTTTAACTTATAAGTTTTGTTAACACCAGTCTAAGTGGAAATGAGGGATAAATCTAAACTACCTTATAACAACCCTGTGTGTTGCAGGTGGGGTAAGACAAATAAAATACAAGATTATTAGAAAATCATTCAACTCCACATGTAGGAATTAAAGAAAATTTGGAGACCTCAGCACAACTTGTAGGAATTTAAGAAATTCTCACTGTTTGCACTCTTGTTATCACTGTCTGTCTTCTTGTCCTTGTTTTCTCTCCTTCTGCCACCATCTTTTTATCATTATGATAATAGAAAGTCAATTCATACCAATTTCAACCAATTACTATTGACAGCAACATTTCTTTACTATGTCCAGATTATCCTCTCTTGCTTTCAAAATATAAAATTACAAGCAACAAAGAAGATAGTTATTTTAATGATATTCACACTAAACCACAAAATTTTGATCTATGATGTCAGAGTTGAGCTTAAGGTAAAAATATTTAGGGACATAGTTTAGTTAATATGCCTTGTATAGTTCTTCTGTTACTCCTTTAATTACTCCTTTTATGGTTCTTCTGTTACTCCTTTTATTACTCCTTGTTTGGTTCTTTTGTTACTCCTTGCATTACTCCTTGTATCATTCTTCTGTTACTCCTTTTATTACTCCTTGTATGGTTCTTCTGTTACTCCTTGTATTCTTCTTGTATCATTCTTCTGTTACTCCTTGTATTACTCCTTTTATTGTTCTTCTATTACTCCTTGTATTACTTCTTGTATGGTTGTAAAACATTGATAATGTCAGCCAAGCTTGAAAAATGTTCAGTTAGCACCTACAAAACATTTCTATGGAAAACCAAAGATCTTTCCTGGAGACAACATTCTACCAGAGAAATGATATATGGAAACTTATGTCCTGTTTCTTTCCTTGTGAAAACTATTAGAGTCCAGTTTCTGGGCCATAGAATGAGGTGATCATATCATTCATTCTTTGGAGACCTCAACTCAACAGCAGGAGAGGAAATAAAATAATGTTAAATAATATTCTAGCAGATTATTGTTTTTTAAGAAGTGTATTTTCCTCTGACTTCCTCATTTTGACTTTAAGATCAGATGATAGACAAAACAAAGGAAGTTCTTTTTGATTGGTTAAAACTAGCGTGAGAAGGTTAGAGAGATAGAAAAATTATTTCAGGGAGTTAAGTTTGTCTAAGGAAACTTGCTCCCCCATGGAGGTAATAGAGCAATCCCACTAACTAGTTAAAAATGTACATGTTGATGTGTTTAATAAAATAGATAAGTTTAAACATCCCTTTTGTTGAAGTTCTCATTTTACCTCTGAACTAAAAAAACAACAAATAGTGATCACCTGGGGAGAAGATGAAAGAAAGAAGAAAGCAACATATGAGTGAGTCAAGTCCATTAACCAAGAGAACCCTAGAACGAGGGGGCTATACAACAATAATCTTCCTTGATATCATAAGCTGGGACATGGGGATTAGAAGGGAAGACCTGATAAAAGCTATTCAGGCTTGTGAGTACTAGGATGGGGCTGTGAACTCTGTGAGCTCAGCTGAGGTTGAAAGATGATGATGATGATGATTTTTATGTCATCAAAGACGTCCTGTTGAAAACATTGACAAATTCATCTTCTACATTTGATAATGATTGAACCCCATTCATCTCATCTGCTATGAATCTCCACCAATTTATATTCCAGATTTTTAATATATCCTTCTCATTACAAATTGTTCATTTTAATGAATTTATTTAATTGCTTTGTGTTATGAGACCAAAGTTATTTTCTATAAAGTTGTTAACTGTTGCTTTTTTTGTTTTGACAGCAGACTGCAGAAAAAGCATGAAACTGTTAGGATCAAATGACCAATACCAATGCAACTGCAAAGATCGTACCTTCTGTGATTTTAGAAACAATGGAAAATGCACAAATTCAATATGCAGATCTGGTTATGGAGGACTGTTCTGCCAAAAGAGTAAGTTGAACTATTTCTAGATGAAAATATCAAATTTCTCTTAATTTCCTTGGTAAATTTGTTTCAAAAATCAATTATATAGTGTTTTCAATCTGAACCATTTACCAAATTGAACCTTTTTGTATTGGCAGAGGGAATTTTCTGTACCCCTTTTAGTAGAGTATCTTCTTATCAACTATATGTAAACAAATTGTAAAAGAAGTAATACCCACTATCAATGGTCACCTTATATTATAAAGTAAACATTAACATCTGTAGTCTTCTTTTCAATTTCAAACAGTGATGAATTGACAGATAAAAATGGACAATGATTTATATAACAATATTAACAATAGGTTTTATTTATACATATTAACAATGAAATAGAACAAATGTTTAGTTGTAAGCTTTGTGACATTCTTCTTTATGTACTGTTTCCCTTCAGGACATGGGCAATCATGGCTCTCCACAATTTCCTGTCCTTCATAGCTCTTAATAAATTTTGTCTTTTTGTTATTTCTCCTAAACGTTGTCCTACCATGCATACAAAGTATTTTATGCATTGTTTTCCTCTGCCCCTCTCACCTTCCATCTGTCCTGTGAGTATCAGAATTTTCAAGCCCTCTTTTCTCATTATGTGCCCTAAAATTTTCAACTGCCTCTTCCTGATGTTAAGTTTCCTTTTTGTTTCCATTTTCTCTAAAACTTTATTGTTGCTCACATATTCAGTTGATGGGATCCTCAGCATTCTACAGTAGAACCACATTTCTCTTGCTTCAAATCTCTTCTTCATCACTGAGATTGTCCAACATTCACTGTCATATAGGAGGACAGATATCACATAACAGTTCAGTACACTTCTTTATTTCTAATGAAATTTTTCCATTTCTTAATACTCTGTTTAGCTTTTGGAAGGCATCTTTGGCTATCCCAAAGCACCTTTGGATTTCAGTGTTACACTTTCCATCCTCTTTTAAAACATTTCCCAGATATTTAAATTTTTGTATTTGTTTGATTTTGATATTTCCTATTTGTAATTTGCATTTTGGGATCATCCTTTTGGGATTATCCTTTTGCTAATAATCTGTCTTCTTGCAATTGATGTTTAATCCTTCGTTCTCATTTTCTTTCACTACATTATTCAGCTTAAAATGTGTTCAGCAAAGATTTATGTTTGTACTAACTAGTCAGGTAGCATGTTAGACAGAGGTAAGTAAACATTCATCCTGTCTTGTGTGCAGGGGTGTGTGTGTGTGTGTGTGTGTGTGGAATGCAATGGATAACAAGTTGAAAGAAGAAATTGGAGAGCTGATTTTGAGTTTCAGTTGGATTTGTTACATTCACTTATGCACAAATTCATCTCTTCATCTCCTCCTACCTATAGATTAAATCGTAGGTTAGACTGAACACTTTAGCCTTGGTTGGCAACCAGTCTAGGAGAAGGACAATTCTGAAATGTTGTTTGGAGACATTGTGGTATTCAATTCTTCTGAAAACTGTGGTTAGTTCTGCACAAACATTCACCCCCCTATAATTGAATCATCTGTGCATGTAGACTGCCTGTTTGGTTCTCAGATGCTGGAGACACACATGCATACACACACATATGTATATGTATATATATATATATATATGTTTTTAATCTGTCAGATTTGTATATGCACATGCATACACACACACACATATATGTATATATATATATATATATATATATATGTTTTTAATCTGTCAGATATGTATATGCACATGCATACACACACACACATATATATACAAAAAGAAGTTTTGTTAAATTCTACTAACAGTGTCTGGCTATTTAAATTTTATTAGATTTTTCTAATTTCTGAATGAGATGTATATTGCAATTGAAATTATGCATAATAATATTTTTCTTCCTTTTTTGTTCAAGTTCTTTTGACTATCTTAGTCATTATCAAGAATTGTGTGTTGTCAGCATGATAAACAATGTTAACTGAATTCTGATGTGTTAGATGGCTTGATTTGGAATTGGAATCAGTTAAAATTATGTCATATGTAACAGTTAAATGGGAAAGCATGTATTGAATATTTATACATATTTTTTTACACATATTAAATGTATTATATGCATATTAAATTTTTTTATATACACTTCAATATATGATCTCCTGTGGAGAAGGATATTTTGTTTAATGTGGGTTGTTTCTTTTGTATTATTGGTGTGTTTTAAGATGTAAGTATTTTCTTGGGTGTGATTGGTTTATAAATATTGTATTTGATATTTTAATGGACATGACCAGTTTTTCTTTCCACTAAATCATGTGTAATATTTTGGCATTATCTACTAATATTTGTCTTGAATTAATAGTTGTATTTTGGTTGTTTTTGATGTGATGATCGATATGCACACAAATTGCACTAAGTTTTGACAAGTGACAACTCAACCTACAAGAGAGAGAGAGAGAGAGAGAGAGAGAGAGAGTGAGTGAGAGAGAGAGAGAGAGAGAGAGAGAGAGATGTCCATGTAGCCAATGTAAGAATTCAAAGTTGTTTTTGTTTATAAATATTGAAGATACTTGTATGTATATGTAAGTTCATTGTGAAAAGAAATGTAATGAAATAATCTTGTATGAAATTACTGCTGGTTGATTTTCATGCAAGAGTTCACATTTGAAAAGAAGAATTGTTTTCTGCATATTCTTTTTATCTTTAAAAAGAAGCATATTCAAATAATTTAAAGTTTTTTCTCTGTAATTTTTAACAAAATGGTTAACAATTTACAACCATAACTTGTTTCAATCTTTTTCATTTTCTAAAATTCCTTTTTTTCAGTTCATTATCATAAATATCTAAGGAGAAATAAATTTCAATCACAGAATATCTTCACAAGTAATACCAAAGAAATAATCAACTCATTGAATATCACTTTCATATATAAATACAGGATTCATTTAATAAAAATCAATTGTCAATCTTTAGGTAAGTGGAAATTCTTTCATAAAGTATAAAAGATAAGCTACAATTTTATATTTTTATCTTTTTAAATATTCACTACCACTGATACCAGGGTTGGTGCAAAAGTCTCATGATACCAGGGTTGGTGCAAGGGACTCATGATACCAGGGCTGGTGCAATGGTCTCATGATACAATGATACCCTCACATCACTCTAATACATCTTAATTTTCATAGGGTAGCATTCATATAAAATACAAATATTATTGTAAACTAATTATGAATAATAATGGATCATATGCAATGTTGGTTAACAATTCAACTAGAAAAACTGAAAATAAATAAAATTTATCTACATACAAATTAGGGACATATTGTAATAGATCATTCCATCTTAAATAAATCAACAATGTTTTGTAACAATTTTTAACATCAACTTGAATTTTTTTCTTGTTAAAAATTTGAATAATTTTGACACATTCAACATTATGGATAAAAAATAACAAATTTTATATAGTGCTTTTTTTTGAGATATAGTCATTCCCTTGTTCAAATTTAAATTTAATTTAAATTAAAAGGAAAAAACTTTCAGTGGGTGGTTTGTGCCACTCGGGGACCACCTTTGATCAAAATGGTCTTGATGATGTGACTTCCATCTTCTGCCTTTCTCCTTCTATATTTTGGATAGGAGTGATTTCCTTGTTCAAAAAATTAATTTAAATCAAAGAGAAAAAAAAAATTCAGTGGTGGGCTTTGTGCTTCATCAGAGACCCCCTTTGATCAAAATGAAATATACTTATCCAACCAAGTACCCTGGGTAATGTAGTTTCAGAATATATATGGTTATGGGGGTCTATCTCCCAAACCCTAAGAAAAGTTTGATAAAAAACAAGCAGACAGAGGCTACAACTTTATATATATATAGATGAGATTATTTTGCAGTGCATTTTACCATGTATTTTATAATTTTGAAAAATAGTTATTACTTTGTGCAACTCATTATTTATTTAAATTGTCACTTGGATTTTTATTATTTTCTTTCTTGCATTATTTAGTTGATATATCATATCTCATATCATATCTCATATCATAAATATTGCTTCAAGTTTCAGCAGCAACAATCACTTTGTCGATTGGTTTGACAAAATTTTGTGAAAAGAAATGCCAACAAATTACAGAGTGCCAAGGTGATGCTAATGGAGAATATTTGTTGATCCAAACTACAGACAAAATTTCACTTTCAAACCTGAAAGTTTTAGGTTTGTTAATTTGACAACTTTTTAATTTTCATTGAGTTTTTAAAATCAAATTAAATTTTTTGTTAATGGAGAGAATGCTATTTCATGTAACAAATGCTTTTGTTCTTACATTTTCATGTAATTTTAGTATCATTCAAAGAACTTTTCAAGAATACTTATGACAATGGTATTGGTTATACTACTTTTGAGAAATTAGTGGAATAAGACTCTTTATATAATTTATTTTAATTCTTGAGGTTCTTACAATAAATAGTTCAATTCAAGAAAGTGCTCATCAAAATGGTAAGGAATTGTTATTAATAATAATAGAACTACTCTTTGCATCTTCAGAGAATAGTAAAATAATCCTGAATTCTATGCATTAGATTATAGAGGAGAAACAAATGCAGAATCATTGAACAAATGCAGCTTATAATTTTAAGGCATTTCAAAAATTAAGTGAAAATTAGTTATAGAAATTGCTGGTTTGCATCTTAATTTTGGTAAATTTATGAAATAACATTTTAATGATAAATCAAAGAATTTTCAAATTTTTACACTAATGTCACTGATGTCTAACAAGACAAATTCATGTCAAATATCAGATAGGTATTAAAATGTACAACTTATTTAATAACAAATTTGTTTATCTTGCTGATCAAAATTTTAAACCAAATAAAATCATTAATATTAAGTCTGTGCATTGGCTACTTAATATACACCCCACTTAAATGATCAGCAAAATATGCATCCCACACTTAAATATTCAGCAAAATACACATCCTACTTAAATGATCAGCAAAATATGCATCCCACACTTAAATATTTAGCAAAATACACATCCTACTTAAATGATAAGCAAAATATGCATCCCATTTAAACATTCAGCAAAATACACATCCTACTTAAATGATCAGCAAAATATATATGCCACTTCTGTTTGTCAATGAAATAAGGAAATTTTTCAAAATGGTCCTATGAAAAGTTACTTTTGCTGATTATGTAAGACTATATTTGAAGAGTTGATTTTTATATTCACTGTATACACCTTTAGCTACACAAATTTAATCAAACATACAACACAAAGTTTTGTAATGACATCAGGTGTCAGGTGTACTGGTCATAAGGACTTTTAATTCTGTCATGACTGTATTGTAAACAACACTTATATTTTCTACTTATCAAGAAAACTTTATTAGAATTTGTTCAAGTATCTGTATTTTTAAATAATTTTAGATTTGCTGTTAAAGATAATTTGCTAAATGCTTGATTTGTATTTTTGATATTTTTGTATCTTTAACACTAGGATGGCCAGCTGTTTTGACATCTTTATTTACATTACGCCATGAAGCAGCCATCTCTAATATATTCAATATTCAAGTCAGGAATAACAAGTCTGAAAAGAAATTCACAAATATTAGTATACCTCATACTGAAAGAAAGTGATTATATATATATATATATATATATATAAATTATGTGTGTGTGTGTATAGATAGATAGATAAATAGATAGATAGGGGACATAAACACAAGTATTATTGCTTGTGAGAAGTTTTTCAATGCATTTACCCTATAAATAGCCTAGGTGTCAAAAACTACACCTTGGCCATTCAAGGTAAAACCTCAAATATCAGCTTTAATTAAGAATTAAGTCTGTTAAGCGTCTTTGCTAAAATTCAATAATTGTCCATAAGCCTCAGCATCGAACCAAATCTAGTTATTCCATAGTAATTTGTTGAAAATTTGAAGGTGTCAAAAACGACACCTCAGCCATCCTAGTGTTAATTGTCATCACTGTGTCAAGATTTGCTTGGCTTTATGATGTCATCTTTCCTGGTCTTTCTCTTGGTTACTTGGCATTTTTTTCTCTTTCTTTCTCTTGAGTCCATATCCATAATATTGACATTTCTCTCTTGTTCCTTCTAATAAGTTTGCATTGGCAATTTCTAAATCTTCCTGTCAGCTTTCAGACTTGTTGGATTTATGAATCATTTCCTGCTTTTGTATGAATTCAGTGGAAGCATTCAAAGACATGTCTCTTAATTGAAGCGGCTTGAGCATGAAGCACTGATGCTTTTCATTGTGTAATTATTTGATAATTCTCATCAACTTGTCTTCTACAGTCTGTTCTATGGTGACACTTTCAATATTAAGAGGAAGAACTCTGCTTATCCACAGAAAGTATTAACATTTTTCAGTATGAGGATGGGACAAGTGGAGAGAGCAGAGGTGAACAGGTGTGAACTACTGCATGCATGTGCTTGTAAATGAATCTCTATATTCCTAGTGTTTATTACTCACAAATAAAATAATAACACAACATGGTGTCAGAAGTGGCTTCAGTAAGTAAGTTTATGTTGTAATATTTTTACTTTGTTTGTGAAAAAAATAAAACGTCAGCAAAAAAAAGGTGATACAAACAGAATAACCATGACTTCTTCAGCTCAACAACAAAAGTTTGCATTTTTTGTAATCAAACCACAGAAATCATTTAATTTTACAAAGCTACTTGAATGAGAAAAATGGGTCTGGCATTTTGAAAGGTTTTGATAAGCAAGTAATCTCCATATTATAACTGAAGCAAGTCAGTTAAATACCTTAATTTATTATATAGGAGATCAAGCTGAGCATATATATTTGTTTGAACAGCATTAAAATGATGTTGTTAAAGTGAGGTTGTAGTGATTGAAAAATAAATGAATAGAAAAAAAATAATAACAAGGAGACCAAAATTTCATCTTTTAAAGAAGGCACAAAAATGACACAAAAACAAGGAACAAAAACAGCCACAAAAACAGCGACAAAAAGGCATAGGAACAGACACAAAATAGGCAAAACAGATATAAAAACAGGTTCAAGGACACAAAAACAAGCACAGGAACAGACAGAAAAACAGGCACTGGAACTTGCAAAAAAAACCCAGAAAAACAGGCACAGGAACAGACACAAATTCTGGCAAAAAACAGACACAAAACAGGCACACGGACACAAAAATAGGTACAAAAACTAGAACAGGAACAGGCATAAAAACAGGTAGAGGAACAGGCCTGAAACAGACACAAAAATAGGAACAGAAACAGACACAAAAACTGGCATAAAAACAGGCACAGGAAAAAAACACAAACAGCCACAAAAACAGCCACCAAATGAGGCACAGGAGCAGACACAAAAACTGGCACAGGAACAGGTACAAAAACAGACACGAAGAGTCACAAAAAAAAGGCCAAGGACAGGCACAGGAACAAACACAAAAACAGGCATAAGGACATGAAAATAGGCACAAAAACAAGCACAGGAACAGACACAAAAACAGGCACAAGGACATGAAAATAGGCACAAAAATAAGCACAGGACCAGGCACAGGAACAGATACAAAACAGGCACAGGAACAGGCACAAAAACAGGCACAGTAACAGTCACAAAAACAGTTACAGGAACAAATATAAAAACAGGCACAGAAACAGCCATAGGAACAGGAACTGGAACAGGCACAGTAACAGGTTCAAAAATAAGCGCCCAAGCTGGTGCAAGAACAGACTCACAAACGGATATAAAAACAGGCACAAAAACTTTCACAGAAACAGGCACAACCACAGGCACAAAAATAAGCACAAAAACAGACTCAGAAACAGACACAGAAACAAGCATAGGAACAGACACAAAACCAGGCAAAAAAAGAAAAACAATCACAACAACAGCCTATACCACTCTAAAACACAATGCCTCACCAAATATGTGACATGTCATGCATGCAGGGAAAAAAGACACTAAAAGTGAGTTTGTACCTCAGTAGCTGTTCATAAAATGAAAGATGACAACAGCTTTTATGCAGATATAATTATCAGCAGGTAGGGACATGGATGATTTTTCTCAAAGTTGGATGGTGAAAATGAAAATTTGAGATTGACACACAGGTGTTGATATGACAGTTTTCCCTGACCATGTGTCCAACCAAATCCACGGCAAAGATATTTCAAAACTAACAAATTCAAAGATAGCAATATTCAGCCTAGTATATGTTCCACTACATGTTCCAGAAGTTGTGAATATCATACAAGAAAAGGTTTATGTGTTCAAAAAACTTCACACAGCTCTATTAGGAAAACCTGTCAGAACTGGTGACACATGTCACCAGCAATGATCTGGATGCACCCAGAAAGAGATATCTAAAGTTGAGAAATGGTCACAGTTAAGGGAACCAACACTATTCCATTGGATTCAAACCAAATGTGAAGTCATTTTCATTCAAGATAGTGTGACAGTACCCCTTCCACTGCTGTCCAAAGTAAAAAAGGAACTACAATGCATAGAGCAGGTGGGTGTTATCATCCATGTGGCAGAGGCCAGTGAATGGTGCATATGGTGGTAATGGCGAAAAAAATTTGGAGATTCTTGCATATGTGTTGATCTCACACAACTCAAAAAGTGTGTAGAGAAAAGTACATTCTGCCATCAGTAGAACAAACATTAGGATCACTAACCAGTGCCATGATATTCAGAAAGATTTATGCTAACATAGGTCTTTGATAAATTTTTCTAGCAAAGGAGTTATCTAAGGTAACTACCTTTATCACACCTTGTGGAAGTTATTTCTTCAAGAGGCAAGCATATGGGATGACATCATCCCCAAAGCACTTTCTGAATATAGGTTACCAAAGACATGGAAGGTATTGTCTGTCATTTAGATGATATTCTGACATAGGGACACACACACACACACACACACACACACACACACACACACACACACACACACACACACACACAAGAATATGACTCTCATCTACATGAAGTTAGAAAAGGCTAGGATCACAAAACTTGACATGGACAAGTGTGAGGTCTCAAAATGAGAAGTCAAGTTCCTTGACCATATTATTTCAGATGGAGGAATCAATCCAAGCTGTGAGAGAAATATGGAAATCTAGCAATGTAATAAGTAAAAGTAAGTAAATGTAAGTAAGTGCAATTTTCTAAGCATGGTAAACCAACTGAGAAAATCCATTCTCCAGTTAGCTGAAAGAGACAAACTCCTGAAAGATTGGGTTGACATTAGAAGGCCTTGAAACATGATAATTGTTTGCACTTCCTTTCCAGTCTTGACCAATCATAATCTTTCTTATTCCAATCAAAGAATGCTATTTTGAACAACAGGCAGATTTCTTGGTTATGTGTGAGTGAAGAAGGTAGTTATGCATTGCATGTTGTAAATAAAGATTTTAAATCCTTTTGATTTATGTCTCTAGTCCAGTTTTGATGTTGAACTTGTAAGACTGATTTATGACATTTGGAATTATGACCCCAGATTTTCAACTTTTGGATCTGAAATTCTCCATTGTTATTTTCTCATAAACACTCTGAAGGAAGACTTATTAAATATGCCAGTGTTACTTCTATACAACTCAAATGAAAAACCCAAAGTGTCAGCAGATTTGGACTGGGAGTAGACTTATTTAAAAAATGGAGTGATGAATGATGACCTGTTGCCTACATCTCTAAGTCACTTTCATCAGTTGAACAAAGGTATGTTCAAGTTGAAAAAGAGGCATTAGCGCTGACATGAGCTTGTGAAAGGTTTCAAGGCTTCATTATTAGGCTTCATTTATTTTCTATTCAAAACAGATCATAAGCCACTGTTGAGTCTCCTTGGGGCTCATACTTTTGAGGCTTAACTCCTGATAATACAATACATGCAGATGAGATCAATGAGTTATTCATACAGTATATTTCGTGTTGCTGAAAAATGTCTCATTACAGCCAATACACTATTGCAAGCACAAGTAATGAAAAGTGCACAAACTGTAGACCCTGAGCTCATGGAGAGCACTAACTTTTATAGGGATCATATAATGAAAAACTCCCAGTGAGCATTTCCTACCTGAAAAGTCTGTGTGAACACCTGAGAGTAGATAATATATGCTCTACATTTATGCGGATATGCCAAGATGGATTAACAGGAATATTAAGAATATACTGGGTAGAGCTAACCTTCCTTACTCTACATGATGGACTCTTGTTATTTTAATCATTCCCTCGGTGTTAAGTAATGACATCCTTGAGAGACTTCATAAAGGTCACCGGGTCTTAACCAAATGCAGGACATGTACATATCAGAGTGCGTGGTGGCTAGGACTAAGCCAGCAGCAAAATGAATTTGTGATGAAATGCAGAACTTATTTTTTTTAATCATTTCACCCCAAGCAAGGCAACAGAGCCACTAACATGCAGAGGGTTACTGAGTATGAAAGAATATAAGAAAAACTTTATTAAGGAATGAGAATGGTAAAAGGATAGAATTTAAGATGATAGAAGATAACAATTGACATTGCATTAAATTTTTGAAGATCAAACTAAACTGAAAAGCAAGAATTTCACAAGCAAAAAAAAAGAAACTGTTAACATAGAACTTACATTTACATCTAGTCATTTAGATTGTAAAATGATGAGATCTTGCCACCAATGTAATAATGCACTTAAATTCATAGAGCCTAGAGGAGAGTTCATCAAAACCTTTAGCATAAAAGTATTTATCAAAAAGGTATAGGGAAACTAGAGTTAAGGTGGTGGGAAAGTGACTGAAGATGCCAAGTTAGGACCAGTTGATTACTGATCTTCCAGATCTTGTCCTGATAGTGTGCTCTGGACTAGACAGTGCTTGGTTTGGTGATTAAACTGGAGTGTATGTTTCTATGGATATGTGTATATTTATTGTCTCTCTGACACACTTTGATATATCCACTGGAATCAAATGGTGTTTCTTCATTCGTATAGCCCTGTTGGGCATATTGACTAAGTAAGATTGTGGTGCTAATGTTTTATTTATCACAGTCCTAGAGACTTTGACATCAGTCACCCATTTTTGTTTCCTGGTGGGAGGCCCATTACCATGAGGCAGTGCTGCCATGAACAAACAGACACCATTTGATTCCATTGGCTAGATCAAAGTATATCAAAGAGACAATAAATGTACAGATATCCACAGAAACACACACTCCAGTTTAATCACCAAATCAAGGACTATCTAGTTCAGAGCACACTATCAGGACAAGATCAGTGATCAAACCTACAAGATTGGATTTGTATATCTGTGTCAGTCAAAGAAAAGGAAAAATGAGTGGTGGTAATACCTTTGATATAGCAATCTAAGAGGGAAAAATCTGCTTATTCCTAGAAGGAATTAACACTCTTTAGGATGAGAATGGGACTGATGGAGAGAGCAAGAGTGAACAGATATAGACCACTGCATGTATATGCTTGTAAATAAACCTTACAAAAGATTTTAAAATTTTAGTGTATAATCCTTTTGTTTATTATTCATGCATAAAATAATATGACAGGTTCTTCATTCCCAAGATTTTAAAAATCACAGTAGCAAGTAGTTTTTATAAAAACTATCTCATATGTTAGCTATTGTGGCATGTGGAGGCTTCCTTACTTTGCTTAATTCAACAGTAACAGTAATGGAAATAATCAGCATGGAACATCCAGAAGTTTCAGAACTCATAAAAATGAGGACCAAACCCTATTCGACCTTTTTTTCACTTTTCCCTTTCAGTGGCCACTACTGTCAAGGCCAGCCTTTTTTCCACTTTTCCTTTTCAGTGGACACTACTTTCAAGGCCCTGCTTGAAGGACTACTCACAACTCTAGCTGCAGAAGACATGTGGCCTGTCCTGCTTCACCTGAGTTTTCTTGTTCTTCATGGGAATAAGCAGAGAAATCTCCCTTCGAGACACCTACCTAAAGGAAAAACTACTCACAACCTACTACTGCAAAAAACTACTGCAAAAGACCTGTACTAGTGCTAGTACTTTGACCCTCAGAATTCTCATTCCTCATGGGAACAAGTTGAGAAATCTTTCTACAAAACATCTTAAGGGAAGAACTCTGTTAACTGGGAAACACAACTTTTTCCATGCAAAATATCATTATTTTGCACGCTTTTCCACAAATAAAAGCTTTTATAACAGTTATTTTGAGTCATCAATTTGTTCATTCCACTCTGTACATTGTCGAGCACACACACACACACACACACACAGACACACACGCGCGCGCATACACACACACACAACTGGAAAAATATCTTACATGTCTTTGTAGATATTTAATGACTGTTTCAGTGGGTTCTTTTTTTCAGTTCTGCCCATACAAACTTCTTTTTTGGTTGCATGTTCCTTAATATAATTTGACTTATTGCCTTAAAAGTCAGGTCTTCTAATTTCAGGAGCTTGGCCATTATTGAAACTTTTCTGACTGCCTCAACACCTGTAGGCATCATAAAATGGTCCGTTACCTCATTTTTCCTCTTTTTGCTTTATCTTTCAACTTCTTGGTTCTAGTGCCTACATTAAAGCAACTTAACCATGTGTCCACAAAATCAGGGTCCGCTGGGGCTAACATGCATCCTATCAGTGACACCATTATTGTGATGTCGTACTCACAAGTTCCTTGCAATTGCTACTGATGAATTCTTCCCCTGCTAGGGTTTATATAGAGTGTCACTTATCTATAGGCAAATGATCACACTTTTACATTTCTATATTATTACAGTTTTAATTACATTTCTTAATCAGATATTTCAGATTATTGGAAATTTTTGATTATCTATAAAAGTTGATTCATGTTAACTCTGGATTAAAAATGACTTTTTCAGGATGTTCATCCTTTTGGTTTGGAGAAAATTGTGATAAAAAATGTCGCTGTGCCAATAATAGTGAATGCCATATGATGACAGGGAACTGTCCCATGGGCTGTGAAAGTGGAAGAAGTGGTTCTGACTGCCAAAAATTAAATTATGGTATGAAATATGATTTTAGTGTTTTCAGATGTGTTTGATGAAGTTATAGCAACAAAAACAACATAGACTAATTTCCAAGTCTATTTCAAATTTTAAAAATTTACTTAAAAGTTTATAGAATTTTGAGGGCATAAAAGTAATTTTTTAATAAATTTGTTGCTTTTTTTAAAATTCTTATATGATTAATGTTCCTATATTGTAATTGAATGCAATTTTCATACACATATTTTGTTGAAAGACGAATAACATTACAATTAATGATGATAATGATTTCTTTAATAAAAAGTGAAAATAATTGTCAGATATTGTAATTGTGATCATTTTATAAGTTTTGTAATAACTTATAAGAAAGTGCTGCTGTTTTTATACTGAAGCAAAAATAATTTTACCTGAAGATTATATTTGTAATTGTTAGAGAAATGACCAATTCCTATTTTTCTACTCTTATTTTTTCAATATTCATCTATTCTCAAATTCTATAAAACAAAACATTCTTTTATTGTATGAATGATTTTGAAATTTACTGTCCATGAATTATAAAAAAAAAAAAAAAATTGCATTCTTGCAGTTGTTATCATAAAAAAACAACAAACCCCAACTTAAGTTAAATCCTTTTTCCAGTTTATTTAATAATTGGTAGAACCATGTTTACATTGCATTGTGCATTATCATGACATAATACACAAAAATTCTATAATGCTGATTTTTAAAATAGAAAATTAAAAAAATAATATTAGCCATAATTTCCTAAACTTGATAAAGGCCAAGAGTAGGATCTGTTGTGGGTTGTTCTGATGATGCATTGGCCTTGTCTAAATGTACTTTCTTTTTTGGGGGTGGGGGGTAAAAACATCATCAGCCCCTACAGTGGAAATATATAAATTACAAACAAATCACATACAAGATACAACACAATAAACACAAATAAAAACAATAATAGACTTTCATATACATCTCTTTAAAAAAATTGTATATTTTAAAGAACATATATGTATACAGAGATAAAAAGTTTGTACTTATTTGGTGGTAGCCACATATCTGTTAGAGAGCTGTCCCCAGTTATCTGCTTCATTTGATCATCAGAGATGAAGAGAGAGAAAATTTGATTTTTATTTCAATTGGTGGCAAAATGCCCAAGCTGGTGCATGATGGGAATTTTCAATATTTATTTAATTGTTTTTTATAATCTTAAGTTTTTCTTTCTTTATTGTTAATTATCATTCTTATCTATATTTTAAAGTAATTTTATTACTTAACTTTTAATTTTTCTTTTATTATTTATTATTTTGGTGTCATACTCCAACAAATTTCATACTAAGAGTTAGAAGTTATTTACTGATTTATTTGTTGCTGTCACTACAGATCAAAGGTGTTAGGTCACAAATGCTTATATGAATTACATCTACATTTGTATGTTCTCTTGTTTGTAAATTTTTAAGCAAGAAAAGTTATATAAAATATTTAAAAAAGATATTCTTTTTCAATTGTCTTTATTATCTTTAATCAAATTTATATGCATATATATATATATATATATATATATAGATAGATAGATATAAAAGTGAACATTGAAGTCAACACTCAGAGGCAACAGGCTGTTTCATGCTAGACGCAATCATCAGGCCGCCTCTAGATGTGTGTGTCTGTGTGTGTGTGTGTGTGCGTGCGTGTGTGGTGCAGTTAAATTTATATTACAATGAATCATTCATACAAAAAATATTAACTTTACTAATCTACTTTTTGTATGAATGATTCATTTTATATATATATATATATATATATATATATATATATATATATATATATATATATATATATATGTATGTTTATATAAATATATATGTGTGTATATATATATATGTATATATATATATATATATATATATATATATATATATATATATATATATATGAATAAAGTATATTTTAGGCAGTAATTATTCATCCAAACAAGTTTGTTTTTTATTAAAATTTTTGGATAAGGTGTTGTGTATTGTGGATAAGCTGCTTGTAGTTCATATTTTGTTATTTATGTTCAAGTCCTTTCAACTTTTGCAGTCATTATCAAGAACTGATGTAGTGTCCTGATGATAGTTAGAATTCTTTTGTCTGCTTCCTGGTTTTCTTTGGGAAGTTGGACATTTGAAATGGTCTAGTGTGACATCACATGTGACAGCTATTGGGAAGAAGCCACACAAAAGAATACGATTTATTTTATTAATTAATTTATTTTATTTTTTAATACTAATATAATATGTGTGCACATTAATTATATCGTATGTACTTCAAGATACCTTCTCCTGTGGTGAATGATATTTTATATTATGTGGGCTGTTTATTTTGTGTAATAATAGCTTCTAGAGGTCCCTCAAACTCCACAAAATTGTGGTTGAGTATTTACCCTGGTTATTTATAGAGGAATGTAAAAATACAGAAACCTAACATTTCACTATGTCCCATAAATCTCACAAATCCCAACTTTTGTATATCAATTAACAAAAAACCTAAACCAACTGCTACCCCATACTTACCCAGAAAGTATAGCATTCAGTCCACTAGCCATATATTAACTGACATACTAACAAACCAAATAACGGTATCCTAGCCTCCCTACACATGGAAAGTTTATTCACTAATGTCTTAGTTATAAAAACTATAGACGTTATTCTAAAGAATGTATACAAGATTTTCATTTTTTTAAATAGAATAAATTTTTTAATTAGAATAATTTATGAAGTTTTAAATTTTTTAAATTCAGTTTCAATAGTATAAATGTTAGGGAATATTGTTATTAAGTAAAACTATATTTACTAATCATAAATGGAAAAGCTTATTACAATTTATGGGCCCCATGTATTTTAAAAATAACTTTAAATTGTTTTTGTATGTGTATAAACATGCTGATTTTTGTAGATATGGATGGACATACACAACATTATCAGAAAATAAGAGCGATAAGTATAGTAAATTTAAAGCCAAAGTATCTAAAATTCAATACACATTAGATTACAGAGAATATTTTCCTAAATTTTTAAGACTACTGAATACTTAAAAATTATATATAAAAGGTGCTCACGTTATTATCCAATTATTTTTTTACAGGTAAAGCCCCCATAGAACAACCTTAGATAAGCATTAATCTGTCATCAAGCTGTCAACACGTCAACTGATTAAATAAATAGCCACCAACAGTTTCTACAATATTTTAAACTTAAAGTAAATAATATTTGTTTCAAATCAGATCAATTATTCCTTAAATCAGTTAATATTCCTCAAGTAAAGTTTCAGAAAAGTATATTTTATTTTTGGAAGAATTTTAGTAAAAAAATCACATTCTGGTGACAGGTGGCTAAAAATGAAGCAAAAATAAAAAAAAATTCAGTAATTTAAAAATGAAAACTCCTTCCAATCAATTTAAATTAGTTTTGAAATACAACAAAGTATTTTGCTTATTTGAAATATCAAATTTAATCTGTCAGCTTTAAAAGTAAAATAAAAGCTTAAAGAAAGATTTTTCATTTTTAAAAATTCATTTTAAACCTTAGGTATCACGAATCTGTGGAGGATGGATTTTCTCTTGTTACTCTCTATTTCTGTTTCTATGTTTGTTTCTCTCTTTCTATTCCTGTCTATATGTCTCTTAATGTTTATCTGTCTTTCTCTCTATGTGCTATATGCTGAAGAGACATGGTGGATCATGATTCCTGTTTGTTATTGGAAGAACAAAGAATAGTAAAAGACAGCTTTCTCTCTTTTGTAACTCTCAGCCATTCTTGCTTCTTTACGACCGTTATTTATCTTTGTGCTACTTGATCCCCAAACTTGTTCACCAAATTCATCAAGGACATTAATCACTGCTTTCCTCTGCTTTTCTTGCCTTTGATCCTCTGTTCTTTCAGGATGTGAATAATCATATCTCTCCACAACTTCCTGTTTCTCTCTCTCTTTCTTTAAGTGTGGTGGGGATCATGTTTCTTCAAAGCTTTATGGTTTTCCTTTTTTACTCTCAGTAATACTTGCTTGTTTATGACCCCATTTTTGTCTTTGTATCACTTGTTCATCTATCCATTTGCTCAAACTTGTCAATTTGTTGCTTTCCTCTGCCTTTGATATGTCTTGTGAATGTTAAATCTTTTAAGCCTTCTCTCCTCATTATTTGTCTCAAAGATTTTACTTGTCACTTTCTGATTGTTACCAACAGTTTCTTCATAGTTTGCTATTCTCCTTAAATCTTCCTTGCTTTCCATATAATCTATTCCTCAGCAGATTTCTCAAATTGATCAGTAGAACCACATTTTTGACTTTTTAACTTTTCTGAATTGTCCCGTATTCACAGCTATATAGGAGGTTAGACATTATATAGCAGTCCTACACTTTTTTCATATACTGTATAATATAAGTATATGTATAAATACATGCACATCATACACAATTCCTTCTTTGGTAAGAATCATGAATTTATTGTTTTGTTATTCAAAGCTTTTTAGCATGAAATAATTCTTGAATCTGTTTCAGAAAATGTGGCTTTGAAGAAGACAGCATTACAAAGTTCAACTTATTTTCCCCATATTCCTATAAATAATACCTGCAAGTTCAATTTTACTGCCAGTTTGGCTGTGGATGGCAACAACAACCAACAATATGAACGAATCTTGTGTGCACAGACACAAATTGAAAACAATCCAAAATGGAAAGTTGACCTTGGAAAAAAATACAATATTTCACAGATGAGGATATATAACAATAAAAACTGTAAGTAAATTTAAACACTAGTGCATATACATATCTATCTATCTATCTATCTATCTATCTATCTATCTATCTAAGTCTATTCATATCTTTCTATCTTTTTAAGCCTGTAAATATGTATGTCTGTTCCTTATCGATCTATTATTTGATTTTGTTTTGCAATCATTTAATCTCAAGCAAAGCAACAATGCCACTAAAATGCAAGGGGTTACTGGGATTGAAAGAGAATGATAAGATTTTAGTGAGGTGAAAGAACAATAAAAGAACAGGTATCAGGAAGACAAAAGATAGCAATTGATGCTGCATTTAAATTTTTGAAGATTGTAGGAAGCAGCAAACCAGAAGAGAGTTCTACAGGTGAGAAGTGTGAGAAAAGAAATGATTAGTTTCAAATTTACATCTGGTTATTTCAACAGTAAAATGATGAGACCTAATTGCCAATCTAGCAGTATGCTTCAGTTCATGCGGTCGAAGTACCAAGGTGGAGAGCATATTAGAACAATGAAAATATTTATAGGAAAGACAGAGGGAAGTCATATCACAGTAGTGGGATTGTAACCTAAATTGAGATGTCAGGCCAGTACTGATAACATAACTGACCAGATATGGCAGCAATATTCAATGCATGGAGTCTTTAGATAGGAATAAATATCATTAGGTCTTTTGCAGCTACATCCAGCAACAAGGGGTCTCTGACTGAGAGATTGGAGGTTCTGAGGAGTTTGGAACCATCTATTAATTGTTGTTGTTCCCAGGTCCACTCTGACCCTGGGTGGTAGCACCTGTTAGGCTCTCAGCTATTGGCAAATAGTGAATCCCCAAAGAAAAAGTATGAAAGTATAAAAATACATTTTTATATAAAAAATACCTATTTATAATAAAATTACCAACAATACCTATTTATAGTATATATTTAGTTGAAGCCATAAAATTGTGTTCAAAATATTTAGATTTTGGCATTAAGTAACCCATAAAGGTGTTGATGTGCTGTTAAACAAATAAACAAAACCAACCACTCAACCAAAATCTTTTGCAGCTGATTGTATCTGTCAACTCAATGTAGATAGATTAGCAGCTCAAAAGGCAGTAGAAGCTATAATAGAAGCAGTGAAAATCAAAAATAAAGGTAAGGTAGCCATAGATAAGAGAGAGTTAGCCTCTTACAAGGCTTTGGTTAACCCATAGTATGGTTTTCAGATACTTCCTAACAGTGTTGCATGATGGGATAATTTATCAAAGAATTTACCTCCTTGACAAATTGACCATGATGAAATACAAATATGGGTTTCATGGTCAGAATTTTAATGTTCTAATTACTTTGTTAAATAATAAGAATTAGAATGATAAGGCACCTTCATTTAATGAAAACAAACAGGTATGTGTAGTAATGAAAATCACTGATTAATCCTATAAAAAAGGAAAAGAATAAGTTATATTTATCTAAAAAATAAGAGAGATGAACAAAGCGATGACTAATATTGAATTGGGGAAATCTATAGAAAAATAATTGCATTTATAAAAGATAAAATTTCTCAAAACAGTTAAATGTCTTAAAAATAATTGTCGGACTTTGTCCATTTCATAATATATATATATATATATATATATATATATATATATATATATATATATATATATATATTAAAAAAAAGAGAGAAACTGCAAATGTTTTTTGTCATAATGTGGATTTGTTTTAGTATACATATTATATTTTATTCTTCATATTTCTGTTACATGAGTTTCCAGTCTTGTGACCTTCTTTAGGCAAATAAAAGGAATAAATTTTTAAAAAGAATAAATTTTCCTTATATTCTTTTAATGTCTCATTGTTTGTTTCCTGCATTTGTTAGTGAGCCTTGAACTCATTTCTGAACTGTTGGCAAAAGTGAATTTCTGCCTAAATGTTAATAAAACCATTAGGTTTGATATGGGAGTTGGTGGTGATAGATGTGTTTATGAGAGATGACTTCCTATCCCTGTGTGTGTCAATGATGCCATGTCTATGTGCTGGTTTATCGTGATATCGTCATCCACCTGCACCCTCTGACCTTACTTTTCTATTTAGTGTAGATCTGACATTTAATTGGTTAATTGAGGAATACCCACAAGTCTATTTTTAATTCTGACCTTTTGTCCCAACCCCTTTCAAGTTTCCGAAAAGAGGTAATGATTTGTTTTTAAATTTCCCTAAAAAATCATTTTATCACCAGTTAGCTACCATTGCTTGAGGAAGTACAATCATAGTATTGAATCATGAAAGCTTTTGTATAGTGAGTTAAAAATGTTTTTATTATAATTGCTTATAATAAAAATATAATGATACACACACACACACACACACATATATATATATATATGTATTTATTTATACACACACACACATATATATATATATATATATATATATATATATATGTATTATATGAAAAGTGACTATGAGTATGTTGTACAAGGAAAGACTGTTATTTGTGTTTGTTGATTATCTTTCCAATGTAGTATTTGAAAAATTCATGAAGATGATTCAAAGTTTCATTCACCAAAAATTAATATTTGATAAAGCATAGAAGACAAATGACACATATGAACAGCAAAATGACACATATTATGACAACTGATACATATTATGACATATTATAACAAATGATGTATGTTATGAACAGCAAAATCTTTTATGAATTATTTGTAGTGTAAAATCATTTGTGGAGTAGAAAAATTTTTATATTTTGTATAAAGTATAAAGAATTTTATATTTGATTCATCGAAATTTATTCCAAGTGTTAATAAGATAATTGAGCTCTTTCCTTGTATTACATTTTGTTCTTGCAACAGATTTTTTTTAAATGTAGCATTTATATTGGACAGACTATAATTATGGTGTTCTATTATGAAATTATCTTATCAAATGCAAATCTTTGTTTAATCCCATGAAAAATTTCTTCAGTTGTACCTGTATTCAAAGAGTGAAAATATTTGCAACAAATTTTATCAATGAATTTATTGTAAAATGTGATTTAAGTAAAACAAAGAATTCCATGTCAGATAATTATTTGTTAAATAGAAAAGAATTTATTTTATTCAGTTATTTTTAATGTTAATTTTATTCATTTTAAATCTTCATTTGTTTTGTTATTTTTCAGATTGGTATCTTTCAGAAGCTGAAATAAAAGTTGACAATCAATTTTGTAATTATGTAGAAGTTGCTAGGAAAATTATTGATATTAAATGCAGCAAAATTCTCTTTGGAAGAACAATTGAAATAACAAAAAAAAAAGGCAGATTAAACATTTGTGAAGTTGAAGTCTTGCGTAAGTAGCAAATTTAAGTATTTACATTTGTACAGAGAGAAAAAAATTATATTGTATTTCACACAATAAAGTAAACAAGCAGATATTGTAGAGAATCTCATTCACATGTAGGTATTACAGATAATCCTATTCACATATATATTACAGATAATCTTACTCATATATAGATATACAGATATGTTGATGATACAGGTATTCATAGTTGAGATATGAATGTTCTTGAACAGATAATCAACATTCTCTATCAAGTATTCCAAGAAAAAGGAGTCAAGATAAACCTTTCCAAAACAGAAACTATGATCAGGAATTAGAATGAAAACAGTTATGACACCTACCCTAGATCCGTCATAAAAATTCAGGATATAGATTTAGTAAATACTAAACACTATACTACCACAGATCAGTTAAAAAAAATTAGTATGTGAGAAAAGGAAATTGAACTTAGAATATGCTATACTAGAGGTAGTTTGCTCAATTCCACAAAATGCTACAAAATGGAAACATTAACATCTAAACCTGAATCATGTTCTTAAAGAACGCCTCGTCAGATTGAGATTTTCAAATGGATGTTATGCATAGCACCAAACCTGTTCAGAAATATCTAAACTGTCAGCCATAGACAACTGCTTCCTAAGATCAATGATTAAAAATGGCTTTGGACAAGTGAAGCCTGTGGGTCTTGGTGAAGATCATCCTTCTTTGAATCTTGTGGACTGGCACTAGAGAATCACAAAGAACAGTATCAAATAACAGAAACGACATCACTTGAGGACTTTCAGCAAGAGCAATATCGAAAATGGATATCACATGTAACCTGAAGAGAAAATAATGACATAATCAAGAGGTTGACATTCCACACGACTTCAACAAAAAGGTTATGACGGAAACTCCCATCAATACTGGAAAGAGGAATAACAGCCACTGTACTTGAGAAACTTATTTTTCTGAAATATTTTTTTAAGAGAAATATTTTATAAATTTCAAATGACAGCAATGTCAGTCAATGAATCCTGAATATTTCTTTATAAGGGAAATGGCTAATATTCCTATTACAAAATATAAATTGTGATCAGAAAGGTTTTGCTAGCATACAGGTGCTATGTGAGTACATTCATTTCTTTCAGTTTCATGATGTTTCGTTGATGTATTTTTTGTTTTAACTCAATTTAGAAGATCCCTGCTTTTGATGCAAAGTTAACTCTATAAAAGTTATATTGATTAAATTTTTAATTGCTTTTAAAGTGTTTGGGATAATCTTTTGTAAAAAAATACTTTAGCAAAAACATCCCAAAATTAAAAAAAAAAGATATACAAACATACAATATTAAACATATAATAATTTTTTGTGTACTTGGAATCATTTGAAATGTAGCCAGAAATAACTGAGCAGTAATAAAAAAAATAAGATCTAGAAGAGATATCCTTAGACATGGGCAGTCAATTGAGAACAGTTTTCTGCCCTTGTAGATTAAATAAAGGATCTGTGACATCTATCACCCACACTCCTCTGTGACTCCTGCTCACAACTTTTCAGCCATCTCCATCACCACCACCAGAGGGGAGAAAGGGAATAAGGAGAGATGATGATGATCCTGATGCTCAGATATGATATGAGCAGGTTCCGACTAGGACAAAGAAATAAAAGGATTCAGTTTAGAATTTCCTGTAGGTTACCCAGATCAATATAAACCTAATGAAGGCCAGAGGAAACAACAGCTGAAATGTGATAAAAACAACAAAGATGAAGACAATAATTCAAATGTAAATAGTATAAATAATGAAAATATCTTATCCCAGAAATTCAGAGAGAGAGATCAATGTGTATATTTGATTTTTTTAAAACTATATTTCTACAGAATGTTTACATGGGTTCTATGGAAAAAGATGTAATAATAGCTGTCCAGAGTGTAAAAATTCATCATGTGACCAGTGGACTGGACAATGTCTGTTAGGCTGTGCACTTGGATACCAGCAACATTTCAATAAAACTTGTACAGGTAAGATATTGTAAAGAAAGATGTGTTATCACTTACATATTTGATATATGTATAATTGAATTATAGCATTTCTAAAAAAAAATGTCAGGATAAAGTTTAAAAAACTTTTTTCATGGCCTTAATGACATTAAACAATTTTCTATGGCATGCAAGTAATGAACAGTAAAACAAACTTATTACTTGGGAAAGCAATTTCAACCTTTCTAAAAATTTTATCTCTACATTTCTTTAACAGTTTGTCCAGTTGGCACTTTTGGAGAAAGATGTTCTCAGATTTGTCACTGTAGAAATAAGAAGAATTGTAATAAAGAAAACAGAACTTGTATAACTGAAGAATTTGAAAGAGGCTACAAAGACCAAAAATGTCAGCAATGTGAGCAAATTTGTTTTTATCTTAAGTTTTAGTCTATTTTTATTATTTAGCACCAAACAAAATCCAACAATATTTTAAAACATCTTTAGTGTTAAAATTTACTTTCTTTTTTTTTCTTCTATGAGCCATGTATCTTCAGTATGCAAACAAGGATGTCTCTTTACAGATTCCCATTGCTTGGAACTCTTTGCAATGTTTCTATTTTATTATCCATCCCATTCCTTGTTCTACCATTCACTTATTCATTAAGTTACACCTTGCTTTTTTCTCTCCCTCTTGCCTTCAATATGTTTTGTGAGTGTCAAATTTTCTAGGCCTTCTTTTCTTCTTTTATCTTCTTTCTGTGTCAAAAAAATTTCAATTATTTCTAATTTTAGGAATAATTGTCCTTTTTGTTTCCATTTATATTAAACATTCTGGTATTCTCAGAATTCTTCTGTAGAACCACATCTCTTTTGCCTCAAGTTTCTACTTATTCTGTGAGAAAATTAACCAGCATTTACTGCCATATGGAAGAAATTATATTACACAGTAGTTTAGCACTCTTTCCTTTCCTCTAATGAAAATTTCCTATTTCTTAATAATTAGTTTAGTTTTTGAAAGCAACTTTAGCTATTACAAAGTGTATTTGGAGCTCAGTGTCACATTTTCTGTTTTCTGTTCAAATTTTACTTTAATCTTCTGAAAAGGCTGACAGTAGATTTAAAACATTCCTGGTTAATTTTGCTTCAATTACCGCAGGAATATACCTGATATATTTGGAAAGCATTTTCAGCCAATTATATTGGATATTTACAATCTGATAAAGCTCAACAATTGCAATTTTTAAATCATGCTCAAGGACACATTTTATGGGGTTGTTTCAACAATACAGAAGAATGGATTTTAATAAATCATAATTTATATTTGTAGACTTAAATTTAGCATCACAGTGATATATGTAATGCATTTTAGAAATCATATTTTTGGAAACATTCTTAGTATAATGATAAATCATTTGTAATTTACCACCCAAAAATGCATGAAGACACAAGAAATTTAAAAAGCATCCTCAGTGATAAATTCAAATATAATACTTTCAGAAGTTCGAAAGAAATTGTAAATTACATTAATTTCAATTTGTACATTTAGAGTAAATTCCACCAGAACATAAATAAATATTCTTGGAAATATTCACAGTATAATTATACTTCTCTCTCTATTTCTGAGATGTGGTATTGTAACTATTTACACTATTTACATTGTTTGGATGATTGTCCTCATCTTTATTGTCATATTCGCAACATTTCAGCTGTTGTACTTTCCGGTCTTCTTCAGGTAATATATGTTGGAATTTCATCCCAAACCCTTTATTTCATCCAGTGGGATAGATTGTTCTTATTTCACATGTCATTCTGTAAATTTCAGTTTCCGTTAATTCCCTTTAGTAACTCAACTCTCCAACTCAGACATGATCCAATTGATAAAAGCATTGGTTGAAGTAATCCAGTAAATCGATCCAACAAGTTGTGACTTCAAATTCAAAACAATCTTTGAAGCCAACAACTGAGATTAATTCAAGTATAATTCTTCCATAAATTTGTCAGATTATTTAAATGTAGTCAATTTTCTCTTTGTACATAATCTGTAACTTCTAGAATATTGTAAGTGTACATTCTTGGAAATATTACTACTACATCCTACTAACCTCCTGACAAACTTTGAAGCCATCAACAGTGATAAATTCAATTTTAATTCTAGCATAAATTCATCAGATATTTTAAGTTTAGTAAATTCTCTCTTTGTACTTAATCTGTAATATCTAGAATATTGCAAATATACTTTCTTGGAAATATTACTAATACATCCTATTTACTGCTCAACAATATTTTATGCCATCAAGAGTGATAAAACCATGTTTAACTCATCCATAATTTTGGCAATTTATTTAAATCTAATCAGTTCTCTTTCTGAATTATATAAATATATATTTTTTGGAAATACATCCTATTTACTACCTGATAACATCCAACAATTTCTGAAGACACCAGTAGTTCTATGTCCATGTTCAATTCATCTTTGAATTCATCAGATTATATAAATTTAGTCAATACTCACTTTGTACATAATCTGTAAGTTCTAGAATAATTTAAATTTACATTCATGGGAATATTACTAATACAACTTATTTACCAGCCGACTATGCCTGACAACACACAACAATCTTTGATGTCATCAACAGTGATAAATTCATGTTTAATTCATCTATAAATTCGTTAGATTATTTAAATTTAGTCAATTCTCTTTTTGTGCATAAATCTTGTTGGCATTACCCATTGTGGCTGATATGCCATATAACAAAATAAAATAAGATAAACAATTCAAACAATTATACCTTCTCATTTGGCTGATGATGATGATGATGATGATGATGATGATGATCTTTTCTTTTTCGTTTTCACCTCATTTTTTATCTTCTTCTCTTTCTTAATGCCCTGCTTTGACCCCCTCATGAAGACGACTTCATGGCAAATGTTTTGATAAACTACATTCCTTGGTCCCACCAGCTCTGACCTTTGCAACTAAGACCTGCCATGTTACATATACCAGAATGAATCATCCTGATTCTCTTCGTCTTACATTAGTATGCAAGAAGTTACATTTGCCAGCTTCTTCCTGGGACCGCTGTGTTGTGTAACAAACTCCCTGTTATCTTTCTGACATAACGTCATAAACTGCATTTTTTACCTCCTCATGTTATGCTCTTGCAACAACCTGATTCAATTCTTGTATATTGATGTCTTTTTGAAGATCTTCAAAGATACATTGCAGTCTGCAGGGACTGCCATATCAATAAGGAGGCATTATTTTTTTGTTTGCGGTCTCTAACAACGGTGTCTGGGTGATTAGCTTGGATTGTTCTGTCTGTGTGCATTGTGTAGTCCCATAAAATTGTTACAGGTCCTATCTCTGTAACCGGGTCTGGGTGATGTTCATACCAATTTCTTTCAGTTTCCTTTCCGTAGAAGTTGCAGATTTTCCAGTGCAGATTTTGGCCCACTCTGTCATGCCATGTTTTATATTCAGTGAATGCCAATATACTGTGCAACCTGATAGAAAAAGGTCAATTGTTATCATTATTATTATTATTATTATTATTTTGCTTTTTGTTTAGAACAATCCATTACTGAGACCTGGGAGGGTAAGGCAAGGTAGTAAATAAATGCATTCTTTTTGCACAAATTCTGATATTAAGTGATACTTAACATGTACACTGTTTATATTTACTTTACATTAATAATAGCCACCTGAATATATAAGCAGTTGCACACAGGGCAATTTTTTGAATTTCTTGTAAACAAGGACTACCAAGGATTTTGTCCATGCTTTTGTTTGTACCATTTTTGATCATGCCCAGTATAGGTATAATAGTAACTTTATAATAATACATAATATAGTAACTTTATAATAATAATACATAATATAATGTATAATAGTACCTTTAAGGTACCACATTTTTACAATTTCAATATCTTTGTATTTATTTATTTTTTATATCCTTTAACAGATATTTTTTTATCTGATAGCACTGTTATATTTATGAGAAGGCATATTAGTACCATTATTATTATCATTATTTGTGTATGTTATGTTTCCTGCTTTGTATCCTGTAAAGCTGAGTCCAAACTATGGTCCTGAGGCCCTATAGGAGAATTGTCATTTAATTGATAGCACTTTTCTTTGTATATGGGATGTTCCTAGTAGGGTGATCTTCTGAGCAATTTGTATGTTGATGTTACCTGGGACACTGTTAGTAAAATTGTCCATTCCTTTTCTCACGTGGCCCAGTGCTCCAATTACTATTGGTACAGTCTCAGTCTTCATTCCCAACATCTTGTTAATCTCAATCTCCAGTTCCTTGTATTTGGACAATTTATTGACAATTTTCATGGAAGTGTTTCTCTCAGGTATTACTGCTATGTCAGTAAGGATACACATCCTGAATTTCTTGTCTTTCATGATAATATCAGGTCTGTTGGCTTTTATTTCCTTGTCAGTTTGAATTGGCATGTCCCAGAGAAATAGTTATATCGTTATTTTGTGTAACTGTGTCTGGTTGGTGGTCATACCATCTCTCAGTGGTTTTTGATTTTGTGCTTCTTGCATATCTTTCAGTGTACACATGTTGCCACCTTGTTATGTCTGTGTGTATATTAATTTTTTGCTAGTACCTTATCATTATTATTATTATTATTATTCACAGCTTATGATGTTGGGTCCTAGTAAAAAGTTTATTTTCAGGTCATCACCCATGACTTAAGGAAATAAACAAATCAGTTCTTCTTTTCACTGACAGGGTGTGTCGTGTAGTGAGTCCCAATAAAAAAAATCAAATCAAATATAAAAACAAAATATATAAACAAAAATAAAATGAATTCAAATTAAAATAAGGCATTTACACTTTCCTTTAAAACCCTTATCCATTTCTTTCTCTCTAAATTTCTCTCTAAATTTCTCTTTCTATACTTCACTCGACCTACGAGAAGGTAACCCTCAAATAAAAAGAGGAAGAAGAAAAGACTGAACCCAGCTGAAAAACGCCCAAAGTTTTCAAGATCAGTGCCTACTTATTTGTGACTGAAGATTACCAAAAATCAGTGAGGCTCCATACATAACTTCCGTTATAAAAAAAAAAAAAATGAAAAAGAAAAGAACGCCGGAAAATAAAATAATTATGGTCAATCAAAAAAATGACAGAAACAGACTTTTGATGTTAGCCGAAACCAATGTTCACGCCAGAATCTTGGGGCCTGGTCAAAACATATATAAGCTGACACCTTTCAGCTAAAGAGAAGAGATGGCGAGTGGATGAACGGAGATGCTATGCATGACGTGAAAAAAGAGGTGTTAAGAGGTCATCTGCTAATGATATTTCTGTCCTGCTTAAGGCCTGGAAGAAAAGTAAATTGACATTGACCTATTACTATGATTACTACTATCCCTATCATGTTCTGACTTCAAACTACAACTGACGGACATTTCTTCAGACTTCTACCAATATACACCTTATTAACACATTTTTGGCTACTCCAAATACTAAAGAACTCACTCATCACCCTAAAGAAAATAAATAAAAATATATTATTTATTTTAAACCATTGTGTCATTCTGTTTTATTCCAAAGTTTTAAGTAAAGAAATCCTACCAGTATCACTATATTCACAGTCTAATACTTTCGGAAGTAACTTCGCTGTTTCGATCAGGCAAGCTTTTCGCTATGGCTTTATTTCTAAATCACAATCTAATATCGATAAGAGTTTCCCATGTATTTTGAATAACGCCCCAATTCTCCTTTGATTGTCGGTATTGTTAGTACTTTCTTTGCTTGTCCTTTCCAAACTTTTAGAATTTTATATTTTAAGAGAGCAATACAAATCCAGAGGTATGTGTACTTGTATTTTATAGATTATGCAAAAACGCTTGATAAACTATGATGCAAAGAACTGTTGGAAGTGCTAGGTAACCTTTACATATTTGGGAAGGATATTAGAATAATCCAGAACTTATACTGGCAGCAAACAGCTTGCATATGGATAGAAAATGAATTCAGTAAATATCTAAAAATAAAACGAGGTGCAAGACAAGGTGGTGCATTCTCACTGGACTTATTGAACCTTTACAGTGAGGCGAGTTTGAAAGAATTAGAAATCTTACCAGGATTCATTATTGGCAGCCACAATCTTAACAAAATAAGATATGAAGACATCACAGTGTCGATAGCAGACACAGAAAGGAAACTACAAGAACTTCTACAAAAGACAGTGAAAGAAAGCGAAAAGAAAGAACTAAATGTCAACTGCTGTGGACCGAGCATGTGAGCAATGACGAAGTTTTAGAGAAAATGGAAATAAAGATGACATCCATACTTAACAAGAAGAGACAGTTAAGATTTCTAGGGTAAATAATGAGAAGAGATGTCTTGGAAAATATGATACTCACAGGATAGGAAAGAGGAAAATAACGCATAACTTAACTTACTCGTAAGTGGATGGCGGAGTAAGGTTTAGGAGGATAACAAAAAGGCAAAATTTATTAAGAGCTACAAAGAACAGGAAATTGTAGAGAGCCATGATCGCCAACGTCCTGATGGGACACGGCACACAGAAGAAATTGTTGATGTTCTTTGTGCTCAATTTGCATTTCAAATGAACGAGATTTATTTCAGAGAACAAGTCTTTTTTCTGTTTCAAGAAGATCTAAATCTAGTTTCTTGTGCTCCAAAATTGCCGCTGTCTCTATCGGAATATCTTGTAGAATATCTTTTTGCCCCATTTCGAACGTCGGGATTACCATTTGTTGAGGTTTATAAGAATGGACCATTTGTAGATGTCTGTTTTTTTAACATGACCACACGATTTATATTTAACGTAACATATCACAAAATATGAAACAGCAAGAAGGAATAAAAACGGTTTTAACGCCAACATTTATATTTATTTTTGTGTAATGAAGTTATTATTCTGGTGTTATGTCTCTTTGACTGAAATAATATCTTTATCTGAGCTCACAAAAGTGGAATTAATTATAAAGCAGAAAAATGCTGAATAAACTGTAGCTTTAGAAAAGTATTTCAATGAGAAAAGTTCTTGTTGCTTGTTTCGAAATGCTTCGTATGTTTGTAATGTAGTTTTAAAAATTTCGTACGTACGTGCATGCGTGAATATGCTTTTAACGTCTGACCGCTCTTGGTCGAAACGAGAATCCTTAAGGTCACATCTTCGCAGGAAAAGGGAATAGACGAGAAAGAAAGAGCAAGCTCGCGTCTGCTATTCATAATTAATGTACCCACGTGATAGGCTCACAGAAAATGGCAGGAAAACTTGACTTGGTCACTTGACTTGGAAAAATATTTGTACGTGGGTGGATTGCAACGCCCATTTGTGGGTTTATTGACCAATTAGAAGCTGATATTTCCTAAAAATCTGTATGAAGCTGAATAAGCTTCACCATTGATAAGAAAGTGGTAGCGGGATGCTAAAATATAACAGGATTTTCAGTTTGCTATTCTCCAGCACTTTCTTTTCTTTTTGACCATGTGAAACTATTTCCCGTTTCAGATCAGAATGTAGTATCTGTCAAAATTCCATCTCTTCTACGTTGCAGTCAGTTATGTTTGGAATTAAAATCGTTTAAATTGAAGACAAATATTCTATTTGAAAACTATTTTCATATTTGTTTATACATTTAGTCTTGCATTAATACATTTTTTATTATTATTATTATTATTATTATTATTATTATTATTATACCATTTTCCTTTGCAGTTACTTTCTTTATCATAATTTCTACTGCCGTCGGTGTGGTTATCATCTGTGTAGGCTGCTTTATATATTTCAAGTAAGTATACCTTTTTAATTTCTATCTGAATTTCTGAAATGAGGAGTGACTCTTATTTACGTGTGGATTAATGTCCTCGTATTCGCTGTTATTATCACAAAAACATTTCAGCCATTGTGCACTTCGAACTTCGTCAGGTACTTAGATCTTAGTAAACTTCTGGAAGTTTCCCTTTATTTAATCCACGGTGGTAGACTATTCTCGTTCCGCTGGCCATGCCTCAGAATATGTCGTCTAGTTCTTATATTTACTACTGTTCAGTTATTGCTTGCCTCGTTTCCACTAAGTACAAATACACACTGCTCGGCCAAGGGATTGAACTCTCAATTACTGTCGCCAAATTCACGAACCAATACTTTAATCGAATATGCTATTGTTCCGTTGGGATATGGTAAGTATAACTTCAATCACTTGGTCAGGAAGTGTGGACTTGGAGTCACAGGCAAGCAGTAAGTGAACAAGAAGAACTAGAATAAGGGGGATCCCTATACATGGTAAGCGGAACGAGAACACTGTACTATTTTATGTGTACTTTTCCCAAATGAAAATTGTAATCAATCTTTTTTTTTTTTTGCTTTCTATTCACAAAAAGGCAACTTATCACAACCTCTTTTATTCAAATCTCTAATTAGACCGTCAGTTTTTAATTTATAGTGGATTATCAATTATAATGAAGTGTATGAGTATTGAAACAGATTAGTTTAATTTGATCTTGTTAGTGAGATAGCCCACCATAAGAGGGGTATAAAACAAAAAAATCAAATTGTAAAGTGAAACAACAAATTTATATAAATCAGTTAAGGTCTCTACAAATAAAATTAATGTATTTTGGTTGATACAAGGTCGTCAAAATGTCCGTAGTAGTCCTTGTCTTTGTAGGGAGAAATGTTTATGTGTACGCAGGCAGGAAAAAATAATTGTGTCTTAAAATGTATGTTGGTTTATCAATGTATAGGCGTTAGAGATAATAATAACGATCGCTTGACGTTTGTCAAGGGACGTGTTGATACGCTCGTTTCCTTCTCTCTGGTGACAGGCGAACCTGCCCGTCTTTTATTTTTGTTTGTGGGGCTTGAAAAGGTCATTTGGGAATTCACTCCCGGATATGATTCGGGCCTTTCCATTGGACGACGAACAAACTTCACGTCGGCTCGCGAAAAGGTCCGTGAAAGAATTTGTTCCTGAGAATTTTGTTTTTAAATGTTTCCTAGTTTTCTATTGACCGAAAAACATTTCGCATCAAGATGTGACATTTCACGAGTTTTGTTTTGGATTCGCTTTTGCGTGTATGTTAAGCAAAGTTTGTAAATTCGAGTCTTTTTAATTTCTAACAAAATCAATGAGTCAGTGCTTAGCATTTCAATTTTAAATCTAGATCTTGTTTTGTTTACTACAAATTTATCCCATATAAAATATCTATTCTGAAATGTTTTTACGATCAAGAGAAGAGTAGCGTAAATAAAAAAGTAGAGGGTGCGACGGTAGAGGGTGCGACGGTAGAGGATGCAACGGTCCCAGGCATCAGGAATGTCATCCAATCAAAGAGTGAAATAAAAACTTGTTTGAAACATTCAATAAAGTATTTCATGTTTCATCTGTTTTTACATATTTCAAATGTTTTCCTTTCTCATATCTCCCAGTACTAGGCCCTATACCCACCCTCTACATGATTCTTAGGGGTATACAATCAAGTAGTTGGCCTCAGGCATCACCTGTCGTGTCTCTCATACTCTTCTGCATAAACCGGATGTTGACTTCTTGACGACTCACTGCAGAATGCGAAAAACATGTCTCTGTCTTAAATAGGACGTATCTTTTTGTATTATGGAAAAAATGAACTATATATTGGCCTGTAAAAATAGAACAAAGTATATTCCACTTGTAAACAAATTCATATGGCAAACAAGAGCAATTGCCCCCGCGACAATCACTTTTAAAAAAATCTGCCTCAAATTTAATTAAATGCGGAAGGCTCAAAAGACTAAAATACAGAAACTGTTTCCGTTTATGTTTAAACACAATCATTTTTAACGTTATATAATCAATAATCATTAACTTAGGCATATATGTTTTTTAAATTCTTTAGGCCTTTATAAATCTTAGTAAAATTACTATTTTTGACATTCAAAGAAATATAAAAATATTTTTTAATAATAAATTGGAATGATATTTTTATCCATTACATTTTTTTTTTGATTATTTTAATTATTTGGCATGTATGTAGAGGATGTAATGGTTACACTTTATTTAATAAGCCCTAAGGTGGCAACGCCTCTAACTCTAGAAACAGGAATAAACACAAACATAAATTTATAGAATAGACAATAACAACTACTTAACACTAGCACTGTGGAAAAGAAAAAAAGATAAGTCTCTGTCAGCGGATGATTATTTAATAGTGGGAAAAGGTATGAACCATAATGTTTTTAAAGAGAGCAATACACATTTCTTATACAAAGGTCCATTCAAAAATAGATCCAATTTCGCGCAGTTGTTCTCGTGCCATAAATGATTCTGCAGGTATATTCCATATCTGAAAGGGGAGGAATTTTATGAAATCAAGATGTGGGTTCCCCAGTCCGTCGATGCAGTTGAGGTCCGTCTTAAACGCTTTTAAATGCTGATACTTTTTTTGTTACTATAAAATTTATTCATTAATGAATAAATGTATAAAAACCAAATTTGAGGTGGGGAATGGATGATCTGATTTTATTAAATTTTTAAAAAAAGTTTTTTTTTTGCTTAGGCCTGAAAAAACTCTCATTTTGGTGGAATTTAATTTAAATCCAAAAATCCAGTGAATTGCTTAGTTCAGTTTTTTGCATTCATCTCTGGGAAGGTCTGTTTAAGAATATTTTTACCTTTCAATCAAGGAAGGTCCTGATAAAATGTGGACAACATTGAACAGACTACCAGTTCCTGTCTGAGAAACCAAAGAAAAGGCCACCCATCATGCAGTTGGAAATTAAAAGTAACTTAAGAAGAATTTCAATAAATCTTTGGAACATGGAATGTATTGAATATTAAAACATAAATAATGAAGTGACAGCTCAAAAAACATGAACAACTTTTGTTCAATACACTGGTTTAGACTCAATGATTAGACATTGCAGATGCTATATGAAATATTTTGTTTTAGGGAGAATTTTGAGTCATAGAAACTGGGATGGCAGTTTACATTCCTTTTGAAAGTTGAAAGATGAAGAAGAGGATATCCAAGAAGTTTTTTTATATTATTGTTGTCCTGTTTTCAATACAAGATCATCATGTACAAACTAACTACCATCAATGAAGGGCTTATGATCTTCATTTACCACTTCCTAAAAAGATTTAATTGCACATTTCTACTTAAGATTCAAACATGATGATGATGAAGAAGCAAATATTCAATTTTCATCTTAACAGACGTTAACATACCACCAAAGGACAAACTTTATTATATTGGGGATTTACCAATGAACATAGGAAAGGAATAAAAACTATGGAAAAATCCATGGAACTAACTGCAATTATTCATCAGAATACACAAAGTTCAGATTTCCGGACGACTTCAAGACCACATGGATTTAATAAACCTCAAACATTGGACCCCTGGGTATGACGTTAAAGGCATCCAACAGTATTTGATCTGAGGTTTTGAGGAGCGGGAACCATTTTCAATACTGTTTCAGGTCCACCAGTGGACCCAGGGTGGTAGCACCAAATAGGGTCCCAGCTGCAAAAAAATAGTGAAGTTTCAATTCAGACAAAACAAAATCCTGGTATGGTAATAAACTACATCCACGTCCTGGATATGGCAATAAACAGATGTCCAACAGAACCTCTGATAATTTTTTGAAAAATAATGTTGCCAGCTATGACGATATTTGGAAGGCTAATCCTCATTTCTCTATGACTTTTAGCGGCAGCAAATGTTTATGAAAATAATATAGATTTAAAAGTACTATGTATTTAACATATAAAACTGTTCATAACTTCAATGACCTACAGTTTTGATCTTCAGTAAAATGTCAGACAGATTTATCTATTACCATTTGTTTGAATTCTATTTTGACTGCTTTGGACAGATAATTGCCTTACAATTTATACATGAGAAATATTGTTAAAAAAACAAAACTACAACATCAACCACCATCTTGAGAAAATGACATCTCAAAAGTTCTCCGAAGAAGAAATATATGCAACAACTTTCAAAACCAAATTAATATCAGGAACTTATTTAATTCAGAATGGATAACTGTATATATATATATATATATTATTGTCATCAGTTTTGCCAAAACAACAATCAAGACTGATTTCATGAAATAATATTGAAATCAACAACCATGATTGAGGCAAAAAAGAATGCTCATCTGACTCCCTGAACAAGACCAAAGTTCCAGTCTCAAAAGAACATAAGTTCTTAAAACAGGGGTATCAAACAAAACTAAAGAGAACTACAGAACATTTGGTGACCAACAAAAGCAGTGTTATACCCCAGATGCATGTGATCTCAGAAATTCTTATTCTTGAATGAAACTATTTGGACAAGTTTCGTAATCATCAATGGATCTCCTAGCAACCCTTTACTAGAGGGATCCTCTGCATCCAAACTCCTGATTGATCCACAAGACATAATCCTATGCTGAAAGGAACATTTTTCCACTTTCCTAAATCGAAAAATAATGAGTACAGCATGAGGTTTCCAGAAACATTCCAAATCATTGTCCTGGTGCTATGGATGAATATGAGGCATACTTTTCAACTATACTGTGCAAAGCTATGATGCAAAAAATCAAGGAAACAACACGTGCCAAGACAATATTCCTCTTGAAATAATCAAAATGGAGACAATTTATTTTCTGCAAACTTTATTTTATATACCCATTTTAATATATATATCCTGACAATCTTTGAAAGATGTAGTAATTATAATGATGTTCAAAAAAGGTGAATGAAAAGAATGGGAACTATAAAAAAATAATCAATTATCTCAACGTTGGCTGTAAAAAAAAAGAGGAT